TGTAACGACCCACACGGGAAAAATTGCTAGGCCTACTTAAGATTGACTTTTCTGAGACGATCGACGTCTGAAAATTAAGTGGCAAGTTAAAGTAAGTTAAAGTTCAAACTCACGCTTCGAATTTTGAACACAATGAAAAACCGAACTGCCTCCCCATCTGCTTGCACTTGATGTCTCAGCACTTATTGTTGTGTTATAGCTTTCAGTTCTTGCTCAACAGTATTTGGATTGTATCTAATAGGCAAGGGATGAACCAAACTACGGCAAAGGGGCTAAAATGCTCCCCAACCATCACCTTCGGGTTTTGTGTATACCGCAAAAACGTTAAGTAAAATTGGGATTAAAAACGATCAAAGACCAATTGATTTTCATAAAAGTGATGTTTGTCGAGATATTTCTGCTGAGACTGGCTGTTGTAATGTCACTAAGTCGCGTGCCACAATTATGCCTATTCATTTCTCTCATCTCTCAAAAAGTATATAATTTGAAATGTCTATTTGTCTACTATCTATCTATCTATCTATCTATCTAGGGATTTGTAACTGCCTAGGGCAGAGAAAAAAAGGTTTCGTTGCGTCTACGGATTAATGTCTATTCACCTTGGTGTTAGTACGCAAATCCTCAAACATAATCAGTAGGCCTACATGTCTATCATTGAGTCATTCGTCGTGTGATATCTTTTAGATATACTTCTTGAGATCCCCATACTCTTTGCCGTTCATCGAATAAAACGAAAAAACAAAATTGATCGTACATAACAAGATCGTTCTCTCAGCCAAAAAAAAGTGTCCCCAAAGTCCGCGTATTGGTTCAGATGGCGCTGCAATCTATGTTTTGAAGCTCTCTTTTGTTTCTATAGAAGAAGAATAGGAATAGCACATTTTGTTAGTTTCGCTTTTATTGTTTTTCACACAAGTAGCGTAATTCTGATCGCAAAGTCCGTACTTTTTCGAAGAGGGCGCCTCCTTATTTTGAGGACACTTTTTTAATTGGCTCAAAGAGTAGTGAACTATCTTGTTGTGTACGACCTTTGACTGAAGCACACAGGTGCAGAGATCGCTTTGAAGCAACACCCGCATATCCTTTTTCTTCCCCATGACGTGAGAAAACCCCTCGTAGAATCAGTCAGGGACTTTCTTGTACTCAAAGATTAGTTGTATGCAGTTCTCTCTCTCTCTCTCTATCTCTCTCTCTCTCTCTCTCTATGTGTGTGTCTCTCTCTGTCTCTCTCTGTCTCTCTCTCTCTCCCTCTCCCCCTTTTCCTCTCTCCCTCTCTCCTTCACTTTTTCTTTATCTCTTTCCAATAAACCCTTGTTCTTCATCTCCTTCTTTGTTTGTCTTCAACTATCTTTTTCTCCTTAATTATATTTGGGATTTTGTGTGCTTTTGTGTTTGTATGTGCTGTCGTATTAATACGCTAATCGATCATTTTGTTTAACGTCACGTTTCAGCATTGTTTCAAAACGTACTAGCTCAATTTTTGCTTCAAATAGCACTCAAATTCCCCTGCACAAGGAAACAGATTTCACAATGTTTATTTTGTTTAAATACAAAAGATCCATAGTTTCAATTATTTATTTCTAGATCCACGTTCAAAACTGTGGTTGGTTTGAAGAAAAACCTAATAAAGAAATAAAAAGTTGTATAGATAAAACGATAATCTGGTTAATAATTAATATCGACTACATTTACAGAAAAATAACACCCACAGCAACAACGACAACGACACAAACATTACTATAGAACCTCACTACAGCATCAGCAACAATCATTTAAAGTTAAAATCAAAATGTCAGCTTGCACCCTCGAGCTAATTTTTCTTGAAAAAAAACTTTAAAAATATTGAGGAAAATTACCAATTGAGAAGAAGAATGCACATTTAATTCTGGATAATAGACTTTCCAGACAAGCCGTCTGACGCCATAATATGAACACGGGTGGTAACGTCAGTCTCAGCTAAATCGTTCTCTCCGAAACTTCACTTTGATTGGATGTGATGGGAAAAAGGAATGGTTGAAAAAAGAAACGCACATTCAAACGGGAGAGCATTTATTTGACTTCTTTATTCTCACACTTTAGTGCTGTTAAACCAAAGATTGACGAAGTTGATTTTAAGATGGAAGTCTTGAGAAACGGTACATTTTCCTATTGAAAAAAGTACCTAGATCTATCTATCTATCTATCTATCTATCTATCTATCTATCTATCTATCTATCTATCTATCTATCTATCTATCTGTCTGCCTGTGTGTCTGTCTGTCTGTCTGTCTGTCTGTCTGTCTATCTCTTTATATCTATCTGAGTTATCAACATCTCCCTGATACCACCTGTAAATATGACGTAATCCCTTGCTCATTACAGAAAACAGATCGAATGTTTGTGACTTTTCAACAAAATGCATTAGCGTTTGAAGCTACAAGATTGTCATCGAATGAAATTACTGAAGTACAGAAAGAAATCAAAAAGTTTCAAGTGTTCATAGATTGTATCTTTTATGTTTAGTAAAATCTTAATAATTTTAAATACGATTTACTATCAAATGAAACAGAAAAGCTGATACAATTATAGCGCTGTAACGAACAGTATAAGAAGCGTGCAAGCCACCTGGAAATGATACTCATTCTAAATGATCTACACGCCCATAGATATATTTTACAGAAGTTAGGAGGTGGGTTGCTTCAACACCATGTGATGAGGCCAGCTCTGCCTGTGTGGGATCAGTGTCCCAAGAAACCCCCCCCCCCCCCCACAAAGCACCAAAAATAGTCGATAAAACAGACTTTTCCACGTGGAACTGAATTTGCAACTTAATTTTGAGTACACCGGCAAGAAACATGTCATTTGAGCCATATATTCGCCCCAAAAAAATGTTGAAAATATAGAGTACAAAACGGAAGTATCACATTTTTCTAAAAATGACTGACCTTGAATATTATCAAGAATAAATGCTGCTAAAATTATGAAGAGGTAATGCAGACTTACGTCAAACGAAAGCAATGGTCGCTATATTTAGCTGGTAGTAGCTACTAATAGTGCGGTATTAAAGGTGTGTTTTACAGGAGAAAAAAGTATGAAAAAACTACAACATTAAAAGAAAATACGAATAAAAATCAAGTCTGCTCCACTTAAAACGTCCGCACATATCCTTTGGGACGTCAATAACATTTAGGTCTCACTAGGGGGGAAAGTTCTCGTGGAAAGTAGAGTAATGAAGGGCAATTTGATTTATCGAGGCGTTTTGACATCAGACAGGAAACTTTCTCTTGATTTCATAATACTGTCTGAGAATGTTTTCAGTCTGGCTTATGGTGGCATCGGAGGTTGAGTAGTCATGCTTTTGAATTCTCAAACACAACATAGTTGTTTCAAAAGCTGTCAGGGGGACTGGCGGTTCGTCCTTTGGGAACAGCACTCCACATGATTTTTTTCCTCACTTCACCCTGGTGGGAATGGGTACTCAGCTATATAAAGCAATACGATCTTGTCAATGTGTTTGTGTTTTAGCGGATGGAACTCGTAATATAGTGCATGTTCCGGGAAGTCGAGATTAGATTTCGGTAATTAAGTCTGCAGTGGTAATAATAGTTATAAACCCGTTGAGCGCACGCTGCAGTGCGTCGATATTCGCGGTATAATTACATTTATTATATCAGTATCGTTATAGGCCTATATAATTCTAGAGGCACCGACCTTGATCCCTAAAATAAACCACACACGATTCAGACCTACAATAAAAATTGTATTTAAATGAGGGTAACATTCAGAATTTTTATGAACAACTGAACAGAGCTGGATTTTTCTTGATTGTGTAGAGTAACAAAATACTCCAGAATAATTTGAGCCTTTGGCTTCCACGTCCACCTTTTTTTTTTAATGTGAGCATCCGCTGTTCAGTACAAGTTCAGTTTCAAAGATAAAAGCAAACGGAGAACACCAAAGAGAAACAGTTAACAGTAGAGAGGTAGTATACGTCTTGACCAGTTCAGAGATCAAACGTGAAAAGGCTGAAAATATTTTCCGCCTAGCCTGGAATAGCTTTCCTTCACAGCCTTTCGGAAGGTCAAGCTTTTGGCTTTGAAATGTGCAAGCGCATGCGTATAAATTTGTGCATGTATATATATATATATATATATATATATATATATATATATATATATATATATATATATATATATATATATATATATTATTATTATGTGTGTGTGATCATGTGTGTGTGTGTGTATGTGTGTGTGTGTGTGTGTGTGTGTGTGTGTGTGTTTGTGTGTGTGTGTGAACGTGATTTCTTGAGTGTGATTATGTGTGTTTGTGCGTGTGTGTATGTTTGTGTGTGTGTGCGTGCGTGCGTGCGTGCGTGGGAGAGAGTGAGTATACATTTGTACGTAGCTGCACTGATAAGAGCAAAATTTATGTATAGCCCAAAAGCAGTTTTAGTTGATATATTGAATGGATTCTTTTACTCCTATATCCTAAGTAAAAGAATTACGCATGGGATACCAAATCGTGTACGTAGATCTCTTTAAAAACACAACAAACAAATTCAAATAACAAACGTTAATGAAACTAAACAAAGCAAGACTCAAATACAAGACCACAGGGAAGTCACTTTTTTCATTTAGATTTCCTTACGCTCCTAACGTCACAATTTTTATCATTTAGGAGACGAGCTTCGACTCTGTCTGGCAGGGCTAATCCATGCTGAAAGGGAGCAACATTCCTGATCCCATCAGAACGACAGAGATAAACACACAAAACATTCTCCCCACTCGGTAATTGAATTCGGGTCTTCTTCTTCCCACGCTGACGCTCCCACCGCTACACCACAGACACCGGTAAAGAGTCATCGACATAAACAAGAAATAATTATACTGCCTGAAAGTTAGTTTTATCAGCTGTTCGTCATGCCACAGAACGACGTGCTCTGTCTATAAATTGACACTTCCGGTACTATTAAGCAAACACAAGAAACAAAACAAACTAATCAAGTGTGAAAACACTCACCAAGCAAATCCAGCAAAGCTATGCCATGCTTACACCTGTACGCCTAAACAAGATTGTGTCCCAGTGCACGTGCGTGTAATGTTTTATTAGTACCCGGAAAGCAGCAACTTGAGCCACCGGCGGAGATACCCGCTTTTCGACGGCGGGGAGAGGGCGCGCGCGTGAGCGCTTTTGTGAGCGTGTGGCGACGACGGCAGTGCCAGACAGTAGCCAAGCTAAATGGAGAGGGCGAGCAAGAAGAGGTCTTTGGATGCAGAGTGAGTTGTACGCTTGAATGAAAGAAAATTGTGAAAAGGCTGAGCTGAGTAGATTCTAGATACGTCCTGCGATCTACTGGGTGGTTTTAAGACTGCCCGCACCAACCTGTCAGCGCGAGATTGTTATATCTTAATAATTTTTCCTTTATAAGTAAATATGAAGTGCTGGATGGTTGTGGAGGGATATAAATCGTATATCTTTATCTGATGCACCCATTTTTGATGCTTCTACATTGAGTGCAGACTTGAATCTGGTGAATCACAAAAGACACCTTTTCTCCCAACCTCCATACCATTCCTTTCCACGACCAGGAAAAAATGATTATGCTACTCATACTGATAATTTTGGTGTTGATCCCCCAGTGGAACCTGTACAAACTTGCAACTTAATTCTAATTAATTAACATTTTTACCAAGCTAGTTTTCTATTCTAGAATAATGTACATTTATTTAATTTAATCTTTAAAAAATCGTGGATACTTGGCATAGACCAAGCTCAATGACTTGAAACCACCCGACCCCTACCCCGCTCCTTTTTTTCCTAAATATTATAATTATTTTGTCAGAGCAAAATGATACTTTATGACTATCTGTGATAGAGAACAAGACAGCTCGGATTATATTATATTTTCTCTTATTGCAGGATTTTTAGAACATTAGACACAGGAGCATTTTCTTTGCTCATTCACTGTGGTCTTCGATGGGCTGGTTCCCAAAGTTGTAAAGATTATTACGGATGTAAAGCATAATGACGCTAATTATCCTCATGTAACTGCCCCGCCCTTCCCCTACGCTCATCCATCAAGCTCCCTTCCATTTTATCTCCATCCCATCCTGTAAAAGAACAGGCCGTAAAATCCAAAATTATACAGTCAACTCGAAAACAAATCCTTCTGTATCTGACCGAAGCCAAACTTTTACAAAACAGAAATGCAGCTTTTTTGCAGTCACAATGACATGTTTATTGAAACAATGAAATAGAAAAATATGATCATTCAATCGGTGGATGGAACTGACATTATTCATAAATCATATCGAAAATAATTCAGTGGTGAATGGACATGGTTACATTAAGCCAATACATTAGTTACCGACAAGAAAAGGCAAGCATTGTTTACTGAGTTCCCTTAAATGTGTGCAGTGTAAATAGCTTTAATTTAAAAAATGCAAACAGTTGAACACGTGCTCAAAGGAAAACACTGTATTACACGAAATGCAAATGTAATATTATAATACAAAATACATTGATATATGGATGTGTGCGTGTGCTTTCCTTTGTGTGTGTGTGTAGGTGGATGTCGGTGTGTGTGTGTGTGTGTGTGTGTGTGTGTGTGTGTGTGTGTGTGTGTGTAATGGTGGGTGTGTTTGTTTGTTTATGTGTGTGGCGTAATAGAGAGAGAAAGAGAGATGGGAGAGAGGGAGAGAGAGAGAGAAGAGAAAAAGAGAAAAAGAGGAAAAGAGAAAGAGAGGGAGAGAGAGAAAGAGAGAGAGAGAGAGAGAGAGAGAGAGAGAGAGAGAGAGAGAGAGAGAGA